GTCATTAGACCACAATACAATAATACTGGGTGACTTTAGCACATCTCTCTCACTACTGAACAGATCTTCTAAACAAAAACTAAACAAGAAAACTATAGAACTAAATAATACAATCAATAATTGATGTAACAGACATATAGAATATTTCTCATCCATCAGTGAATGAATAAGACTTCTCAGCAGTACATGGATCCTTTTCTAAAACATATCCTTTCTTTTGCCCCAAACCAACTCCTAAAAATACAAAAAAAAAAAAAAAACCAGAGATAATACCTTACATTCTATCAGACCACAATGGAATGAAATTAGAAATCAATGATAAAATAAAAAACACAAGCTACTGTAACAAATGGAGACTAAATAATACACAATTAAATGATGAGTGGATAGTAGAAGAAATGAAGGATGAAATAAAAAAAATTCTTAGAGGTAAATAAGAACACTGATACAACAAATCAAAATCTCTGGGACACTATGAAGGTAGCACTAAGAGGAGAGTTTATTGCATTGAATGTATTTATTAAAAGAATAAAAAGTCAACAAATAAATGACCTAACACTATGTGTCTAAGCCCTAGAAAAAGAACAAATCAACAGCAAAAGCAGTAGAAGACAGGAAATAATTAAAATCAGAGCTGAAATCAATGAAATCGAAACAAAAGAAGCTATGAAAAAAATTGACAAAAATGTTGATTCTTTGAAAAAAATAAATAAAATAGATAAACCCCTGGCCATGCTAACAAAGAGAAAAAGAGAGAAAACTCAAATTACTAAAATACAAGACGAAGAAGGAAATATCAAAACTGACATATCTGAAATACAGATGATAATTATTTTGAAAATTTATACTCTAATAATAGAAAATAGAAAATATCAAAGACATCGACAAATTTCTAGAGTCATATGACCTACCCAAACTGAATGAGGTCATAACGATTTAAACAGATCAATTTCAAGTAATGAAATAGAAAATGCCATCAAAAGCCTACCAACCAAGAAAAGCCCAGGACCAGATGGATTCTCAGCCGAGTTCTACAACTTTCAAAGAAGAATTAACACCAATACTCCTTAAAGTATTCCATGAAATAGAAAAGGATGGAACCCTTCCAAACTCATTCTATGATCACCCTGATACCAAAACCAGACAAAGACACATCAAGGAAACAAAACTTCAGACCAATATTCCTGAAGAACATAGATGCAAAAATTCTCAATAAAATTCTGGCAAATGCAAAAATATATTAAAAAGATAGCATACCATGATCCAAGTGGAGTTTATCCCAGGATGCAGGGTTGGTTCAACATTTAGAAATCAATAAATGTAATTCATCATATTAATAGACTTAAAAACAAAAATCATAATGATCATCTCAATAGATGCAGAAAAAGCATTTGACAAAATACAGCACACATTCATGTTCAAACACTAGAAAAACTAGGGATAGTAGGAACATACCTCAACATTGTAAAAGCTACATATTCTAAGCCCAAGGCCAGCATCATTCTAAATGGAGAAAAATTGAAAGTATTCCCTCTAAAAACTGGAACAAGACAAGGATGTCCTCTTTTACTACTTCTATTCAACATCATCCTTGAAACTCTAGCCAGAGCAATTAGATAAAAGAAAAAAATTAAAGGGATACAAATATGTAAAGAAGAACTCAAACTATCACTATTTGCTGATGACATGATTCTATATCTAGAAGATCCAAAAAATTCCACCAGAGAACTTTTAGAACTAATAAATGAATTCAGCAAAGTAGCAGGATATAAAAGCAACACCCGGGCTGGGGATGTGGCTCAAGCGGTTGCACGCTCGTCTGGCATGCATGCGGCCCGGGTTCGATCCTCAGCACCACATGCCAACAAAGATGTTGTGTCCGCCGAGAACTAAAAAATAAATATTAAAAATTCTCTCCCTCTCTCTCTCTCTCCTCTCTCTCACTCTCTCTTAAAAAAAATAAAAAATAAAAAATAAAAGCAACACCCATATATCAAATGCATTCCTATATACATCAGTGATGAATCCACTGGAAGAGAAATTAGAAAACTACCCCATTCATGATAGCCTCAAACAAAACAAAACAAAACAAAACAGAAAACAACAACAACCTGGGAATCAATCTAACAAAAGAGGTGAAAGTCCTCTACAATAAAAACTACAGAACACTAAAGAAAGAAATTGAAGAAAACCTCAGAAGATGGAAAGATAACTTATGTTCCTGGATAGGCAGAATTAATATTGTCAAAATGGCCATACTACCCAAAAGCATTAAACAGATTTAATGCATTCTATTAAAATCCCAATGACATTCTTCATTCAAATAGAAAAAGCAATCATTAAATTTATTTGGAAAAATAAGAGACCCAGAATAGCTAAAGCAATCCTTAGAAAAGTGAAGCAGGAGGCATCACAATACCTTACTTTAAACTATACTACAGAGCTATAATAACAAAAATGGCATGGTATTGGCACCAACATAGACTTGTAGACCAATGGTACAGAATAGAGGACACAGAGACAAACCCATATAAATAACAATTATGTCATACTAGACAAAGGTGCCAAAAACATTCACTGGAGAAAAGATAGCCTATTCAACAAATGGTGCTGGCAAAACTGGAAATCCATATGTAGCAAAATGAAATTAAACCTCTATTTCTCACCCTGTACAAAAGTCAACTCAGAGTGGATCAAAGACTTAGGCACTAGAACAGAGACCCTACACCTAATAGAAGAAAAAATAGGCCCAAATCTTCACCATGTCAGCCTAGGAGCTGACTTCCTTAACAAGACTCCTAAAGTGCAAGAAATAAAATTAAGAATCAATAAATGGCATGGATTCAAATTAAAAAGTTTCTTCTCAGCAAAGGAAACAATTAATAACATGAGGAGAGCCTACAGACTGGGAGAAAATCTTTACCACAGGCACCTCTGATAAAGCATTAATCTCTAGGATATATAAAGAACTCAAAAACTTACCACCAAAAAAATAAATAACTTAATCAATAAAAGGGCTAAAGAATTGAACAGATATTTCACAGAAGAAATACAATCAATCAACACATATATGAAAAAGTTTTCAACATCTCTAGCAATTAGAGAAATGCAAATCAAAACTACATGAAGATTTCATCTCATTCCTGTCATAATGGCAATCATCAAGAATACAGGAAATAATAAATGTTGGTGAGGATGTGGGAAAAAAGGTACACTCATACATTGCTGGTGGGACTGCAAATTGGTACAACATCTATGGAAAGCAATTTGGAGATTCTTTAGAAAACTGGGATTGGAACTACCATTTGACCCAGCTATCCCTCCTGGGTTTATACCCAAAGAACTTAAAATCAGCATACTGTAGTGACACAGCCACATCAATGTCTATAGCATCTCAATTCACAGTTGCTAAACTATGGAACCAACCTATGTTTCCCTCAGAAGATGAATGGATAAAGAAAATGTAGTATATATACTCAATGGAATATTACTCAGCATTAAAGAAGAGTGAAATTATGGCATATGCCAGTAAATGGATGGAGTTGGATAACATCATGCTAAGCAAAATAAGCCAATCTCACAAAACCAAAAGCCAAATATTTTCTCTAATATGTGGATGCTAATTCACAATAAGGTGGGGAGCACTAGAGAAGAATAGCATTACCTTAGATTAGGTAGAGGGAAGTGATGGGAGAGGAGAGGAGGGGATGTGAGGATAGGAAAGACAATAGAATAAAATAGATAAAACAGACATTATTACTGTATGCATATATGTGACTGCATGACCAATATGATTCTGTAACATGTACCCTCAGAAAAATGAGACATTATATTCCATCTATGTATGATATATCAAAGTGCATAAATGCATTCTACTGTCATAAATAACTAATTAAAACAAAGAAAAAGTTAATTAAAAAAGAAAAAAATATATATCTTATGTTCCAAAGAAGACTAAAATATACATTGAGAACCCGGAGCATTTTAGTGTCAAATTAGAATGTCAAGTTCCTTAATGTCAACTTGGTTTGTTATATAAATAGATATTAGACATTGAGAACATGATTTCTGTAACAAAATGAATGACTCTGGACAATAAAAAAAGGATCATATGATTACCTTAAGAATTGGTAGTAAATCAGGGCTGAGGATATAGCCCAAACATAATTTTGTTGGTATATAACCATACCCATCTATAAATGTACTTAATGCCATGGAACTATACATATTAAAGATGTGTTAAAATAGCAAACTTTATATTTTGTACATTATCACAATAATAAAGTACAAAATGGGTGTGATGGCAAAAAAAAGAATGGATAGTATATTTTCTTACTAAAATAATTTAAAAACACTTTGATGTTAAATATTTCCATTGCCTAAAACTTTATCATAACTTATTAATATAGATGTCAGAATATCTATTTTTATCCTGAAGAATCACCAAATACAGAGGTTGCCTAGTCCTCCTTCTCCATCCACACTGCTCCAAATCTCCTTTATACACACACACACACACACACACACCCAATTGATTGTTTAATCTAAAATCTTCAAAAATTCTCTGGAGCCAGAAGTTTCAAGGTTGTAGTTTAGAGCAATTAAAATATTACTTTAAAAAGATCATAAAATCAAGCCAAGTTGGAAGTTCTTACATACAATGTTAAACATAGAAATGGCAATAAATTTTGACCAAGAGTCTTTATAAATGAATGTCTAAGGGAATACGATTAAAATTTCACTAACTGGGGCTGGGGCTGGGGCTGAGTGGTAGAGCGCTCACCTGGCATGTGCAGGGCGCTGCGTTTGATCCTCAGCACCACATAAAAACGAATAAATAAAATAAAGGTATATTTAAAAAAAAGTTTTAAAAAATTTCACTAACTGATCCAATCCAGTCATGAAGGTCTCGGAGGAATTTGGAAATGATCTATTGGGAGTTGTTCTCAGTTTACTGATAGAGAAATGTTCCAGAGACACCTAAGTTAATTGTTTCTTACCAGTGGAGTCAAGTCTGTTTATATCATAAACTGCCTGGCTGTGAAACATCCAGAAGTGTCCGTTGTTGCAGGAAAGAAGGCAGGAATTACATGGAACAATCACATGATAACCTACAATGTTCCCACTAAAAACAAAAGTAAATGTTATTAGATACCATGTAATATCTGGTCCATAGAAGCATTTTTATGTGCTAATGTAAATAGACCATATAATTTAGATCCCCATTTCTTCCAAATTACCGGCTACTGGTAGGATCTTTGGGATTGGAATTAACTCTAATAATGACTACAGTACTATTATCAAGTGGGAAAATAGCCTGCAAGTTAAGTGAAATTTTCTTTGCTAGTGTAATTTTTCCTTCAGAAGCTAGTTTCTGGATGTGATTTGTTCTGTAAAGTACAAATACAAGGTTGTGATTTGTTCTGTAAAGTACCCATATTGATGTATAGCAATATAGACAGAATATATTAAATACGCTCAGATCTGTGGGTAAAGGTTTTTGCTGTCCTCAGGACCATGGCAAATTGGGTTCTTCTATGTTCTAGTTCCATGCCAGCACCTAAAAACTGTTTCAACAGATGGAGGAGTAGGAAGACAGCATGAGTCCCTGAAAACCAAACACAAGATGGTCGCTCTAATTTTAGTTTCATTTTTTTTTGAAGGAATTCAGAAATAAAGCAAACCCTCAGCCTCTAGAGAAAGTTGGAAAAAGTTTTTACTGTCTTCAGTATTATTCAGCTGATTATAAGTACCTCACTCTTTCTCACACACTCAATTTTTAAAAAACTACTTAGTCACATACTAGAGCGGACCAATAGGGAATGTTTGAGTTAGTACTTAAAATAACTGTTTCTACCTTGAATTGTAAAAATTCTTCTAGAGCTTGGTGTCATCCTGTGAGATGTGGGAGTAAGTCACTTTTGCTAGACCCTTAAAAAATACCATTAAAGTACCAGTCTACTTAAAATATGTTTTCTGATCATCACTTGCTTACAAGCAAACAAATGAAAACAAAAACCTTTCTTGGACCAGGGCTGACAATTGTTTGTAAGACTATATTGCCAGAGTAAATCTATGGCTTTATTCTATTCATTTATCCATTCATTCATTCATTCACTCAAATAATGTTTTTTGAGCACCTGTTATATGCCACGTATTGTTCTATACTAGGAATCCAGGTCTATACTAAGTTCTTAATCTCATGGAACTAACGTACTAGTGAGACTATATCAGATCATTTTTCTCCGTTGTTAAAAACCCCTTCAATGACTTCCTGTTGGCCAAAAGAAAAGAAAAGAAAAAAAACAATCATACCAAGGTCAAGATCTGTGCTGTCTGAAACAATAGCCCCATGTGGCTATTGAGCACTTAAAATGTGGCTGGCCTAAATTGAAATGTGCTATAAGGGTAAACTGTATACCAGATTTCAAAGACTAAGAACAAAATATAGAATGTATAATGTCTCATTAATAATTTGTTGTTTATAGTTGCAATAATATCTTAGATAGGTTGGATTAATTAAAATATATATATTTAAATAATGATGTATATTTAAGTTAAAATTAACTTCACTTGTTTAACTTTTAAAAATATTACCAGAGAAATTTAAATACATATATGACTTTAGTATTTCTACTGGACAACACTGCTTGAGATTATCTATGTTCTTTAACCTGTTTATACTGTTCTCCTCCCATGCTTGCATCTCAGTCATACTGACCATCATCTTTTTATTCCTTTAGCATGTTAAGCTTCTTCTTGCCATGGGCTCTTTGCATTTGCTATTCCCTCTGTCTAAAACATTCTTCCCCTGTCTCTTTCTCATTCTTCAGGACTCAATTCCAATGTGACATCTTTTTGAGATGGCTTCCCTGACCATGATATCTAAAATAACTCACCTACTTTCCCAACTTATATTATTTTCTATCACTTCTTCTTATTATTTACTCTGAAGTACTTCCCATCATGTTAAAAATATTATTCATTTAAATTCCATAATGATTGATCATCTTCCCACTAATATAGAATGTACACAGGCTAGTGACTCTCTCAATTACTATTGTGTTTCCAGTCCCTATAATAATGTTAGGCACTCAATATAATTATTGTTTGAAAGAACAAATTCAGAGAGTCATTAGCATATAGCAGTTTGCTTATTTAAATTATTAGAATTATAATTTGTAATTCAAGCCCAATTAAAATGAGAAAACCTCAATTTTTCTTTATAATAGGAATAATAACACAAATCTGTCTACCTCAAAATATAAGTAGTAGCTATCTTTTTTGTTTTATTTATAGTTTATCAAGTCTTTTAACATTCATAATTCATTTTATCTTCACAACAACTTTATAGGGTCAATATAGAAGACATTTAAGTTTCTATCTCAATAATATAGAAATTAAGTAAGAAAACAGGGGTTCAGAGATTTAGAGGTTTAAGTAATTTATAAAAGATCATATAGAGAGTAAAGGTAGGGCAAGAGCTCAAATATTACTTTTATGACTATAATTCCCAGTATTTCCCTCTAAACTACATTGTCTTATTTTGGAAAAACAAACAAAGCAAATACTTGTGAGTGCACTTTGAAAAAATTACAAAATCATATACCAATGTGAAGTATCACAGACTCTTTTAAAAAATAGATCTAAGTAACAAATGGTGTTTCAATGGCTCATTGCATGGGTTATATCAGTGTTCGTTGCAGTCCACTGAACCTTTCTCTGTGCTTTGCTGTCAACATCCATCTTCCAAACTTAGACTATCTAGAATAGTGCCACAAATTACCATTTTAAACATGCGATGTCCTTAAGTTTACATTTGCAGATTTCGGTGAAATAGCATCGTCCAATGAAGTCCACTGCACTGGGGAATGAAAAAGTTTATAGTCAAATATGCTTTTAAAAAACTTTTTGGAAAAAAAAATTGACCATATGAATTTTTAAGTATATAGTTCAAAGTGTTAAATATAGTGACAAAATTGTTGTGCAACAGAGTCTCCGGATCTTTTTCATCTTGCAAAATTGAAGCTCTAAACTTATTATACAATAGCTCCTCATTTTCCTTCTCCTCATTTCTTGACCACTACCATTCTGTTATCTTTTTGCATAAATTCCACTACTTTAGATACTTCTTATAAGTGGAATCATAGAGTATTTGTCTTTTGTGACTGATTTACTTCACTTACTAAGGTAATGTCCTCACAGTTCATCCATTTTGCAACAAGTGACAGGATTTCCTTCCTTTCAAAGCTGAATAATATGCTATTGTGTATATATACATATATGTGTGTGTATATATTCATACATACATACATACATACATGTATAATTTTGTTTATCCTTTCATTAGTTGAATCAATGGACATTTGGGTTGTTACTAATGTGAATAATGCTATTATAAACAGGACTGTGCTGCAAATACCTCTTCAAGATCTTGCTTTGAATTCTTTCAGGTATGATACTCAGAAGTGGAACTACTGGATCATATTGTAGTACTTCTTTCTTTTTGAGGCGGGGAGGGATACCATGGATTGAACTCAGGGGCATGCCACCACTGAGCCACATCCCCAGCCCTATTTTGTATTTTATTTAGAGACAGGGTCTCACTGAGTTTCTTAGTGCCTCATTTTTTGCTGAGGCTGGCTTTGAATTTGCAATCCTCCTGCCTCAGCCTCCCAAGACACTGGGATTATAGGTGTGTGTCACAGCACCTGGCTTCATATGGTAATTCTATATTTAATTTTTTAAGGAACCACCATGCTGTTTTCCATATCAGCTGTACAATTTTTCATTCCCACAGTATGCAAGTGTTCTAATTTCTATACATTCTCATAGCAAATGTACTTTTAATTGCAATTTAGCATAAATTTCATAAACCCAAAGAACCAAGACTCTAAGGTAGAATTATAATATATTTTGTAAGAGTTAGTTAATATTTGTAAGCTCATTATAAATATCTGGCAAAGCTTCTATTTTAAAATCTTACACGTTCATTGATTTACTCATCTCTCAGCACATTAACCCATCACTATTATAACTCTGACAAAGAAGAATAAACAATAGAAAAGATCTGATTCTATTGTAGTATAGTCTAACCTTCAATAATTCACCTGAGTCCTCCTATTACTTATCATAGTTATTGAAAAGCTAAAAAGGTTAATATTTAAAAATTGTAACTATGCGCTACTAAAAAGAAAAAACACTAGACAATAATTTTTTCTTTTTTGCAGCACACAGGTGCACACACAGACTCTTTTAAAAAATAGATCTAAGTAACAAATGGTGTTTCAAAATATTAATCCATTTATCTCTGAAATAAATGAGTTCTTGGCTTTGCAGTTAAGTGTGACTAAAAACAATTCAGGGAAATTTGGCTGAGCACTTGTTTACAGAAGAGCCTGTAGCTTTATTTGGGTATATTTAAAAACTTTAAAGGTTTGTCATTACCATGAACTTTTAAAAAAGAATTAGGGCGATTAGCCTGCTTTCTCCCAAGTCTGTAACCAAAGATTTGAAGAATAGCTATCTATTAATATTTTTAAATAATTACTTTCATCTTAATAAAAAAAGTTTCAATAAATAATAATCATCTTGGAAATCATGTAGGGCACATATATATTGATCATGGAAAGAAAAAAATTCTTTTAGAGCTAGATAAAGGTATATTTGAGTCAAGTAAATGGCTATTTTACCATATAGGGAGGAAATTTTAAGGACTCTTCACTCAAAAGTGGGAAACCGTTGAAATCTAATTTTAAAAGGGTTCAATTATGCAAACAATAATATCCAAAATAGGCTTTATGGGGAATAAAAATAATTTTAAGACTAAGTCTCCACGTTTCTCACATAAAAATCTAAGTGTCTCTCACTAGGGGAAGAGGAGAGAGAGATTTGAGAAAAGAATATTGGGGAGTTGACTCAGTATGTCAGTTGCAAATAATAGTGAAACTGGAAAAATATGAACTGGAAAAACATGAACACCTATGTGACTTCTTTTCTCCAACAGTACTGAAAATCTTGCCGAATTTATTTTGAGTCTAGGTCACGAAATTGTTTCAGTAAGATAGGAAGGTTATGCAGGGCCTTGAGCCAGGGATCCAACTTAAGAGAGATGCGCAGCCACGTGACCTTAAATGAACTAGAAGCATTACATCAGGACTGACCACTTTGGCTAAACCACAGACTTTGTCCAGACAGTCTGCCCACTTAGATATATTCCAACGGGATCATCAGACGTTTGGGAGTGGCTGGAACATCAAATGATAACCTCCTAGTTGACTCCCAGAGATCCAAGCCATACACTTTCCCCATTTAGTTAAAGACTACCGTTGCCCGCCACTAGCTTGACTTACTTGGTAGGAGGGATGTCTGTAGAGAAAAGGTCTATGTCAGTATCAGCCAGCAAAACAGCCTTCATGCCCCTAGAGCTGAGCACTTGTTTACAGAATTTGCAACACAGGATGGACACGCATCGGTCCTTGAAACTACAACTGCTTGTAGACATAGCGTCCCACGAAGGATGAGGTGCGGGGTTTTGAAAAAGGAAATAAGAGCAATAGCCTTCCTACTTTGAGCCCCCTAGTCTAAAGACCAAGTCACGAGTTCTTATAAGTCCTAAAATTGGGAAGGAAAAGAGTCCTTTCCTGTTTTCCCAGTGGAAGGATAGAAGAAATATTTATTGATTGGGAATGGGGGTGGGGGCAACAATTTGGCTTCCTTTTAACTTTCGGAGAAGGGAGAGGCGTTAGAGGTGGGGAGGAGGTGAGTGGGGTTTGCAGGGAAACTTTGTCATCAGCTTTCCCTTTCTGCGGTCTGCGAGGATCCTCTCCTCTTTAGCCCCCGCCCCTTCAGCAATTCCCTCAGGCTTCTCCAGTAGTCTCTTTTATTTAAAGCTTCTCTCTAACCACGTCCCTCTCCCAGCCTAAGCCACTCCTGCGGAGCTCTCCAATTCCTCCCTCTGCCCCCACGCCACCTCTTCCTAGGGTTCAGAACCCTTCAGCTTTTCCACCGGGAGGACTCTGGCTCTCCTCAATCCTCCGTTCTTCCGCGACTCTCAGCACTGCTTGGCCGCAAGCTCGGCTCCCAGCCCCCCTGGCCCTCAGCGTGCTGGCGCTCGCGCCGTCTCTCGCGTCCTCCCTCCCTCAGTTCTCCCTCGCGGTCCCCTCAGGTGTCTCCCACAGCGGCTGCTCCTGAGTGAGCGGTGGTGCTGGTGAAGTGGAGCAGGGTCGCTTTTTAGGTTCTTTCGGAGCTGTAGTCTGTCATGGAACACGTCGTTTTTTGCTCCTTCTTCCGCTTTTTCCGGCTGTCAGTTTGAATTGCCAGCGCGTCGCACCGATTGGGAGAACTAGAGTTCGCCCAAGTCGCGCATTGGCAGCTCTCGGGCCTTCCTCTGATGAGAGCTCAATGGCTTGGAGACCGTACGCCCCGCCCCAGTAACGGTGCCGAGATCAGATAGGCTTTCTGGTTGGCCAAGCTTGGCTCCGCCTCCCATCTCATTGGTGGATTTCGGGAGGTTCGGGCCAACCCTCCTCCCGCCCTGGTGGAGTGGCAAGGCACGCCCTTTTACGTTTTTTATTGGAAGATGTTCTACAGTCCCCTCCTACTTCTGCTCTCTATTGGCTAAAATTCCCCGCCAACGCCCCTCCTCCCTACCCCAGTCCAATTGGTCATGGCTTTTCTCAAGAGTTTGTGTTTGGCAGTCGCTTCCATTTTAATACCGCCCATCAGTTCTACTTTAGGGTTCGACAGCCCGGGGAGGAGCTTACTCTGGGACCACGCCTCAGCAGTGAGTGTTAGTCACACCTCCAAGTTTCGTAGGCTCCTCCCCATGTCCCTGGTTTTGAGATCAGCTATTCTTATTGGCTGGATGCCCCATCGGTCGATAGAAAGCGGGCGGTGATTGGTAAAGGGGTGGGTTCAGCTTCCCGGCGGGGTCCTGCGGAGTTGGCGGAGGCTCCTCAGGGGACTGGGGGGCCGATCTGCGTAGAAGCGGGTGGTGGGGTAGAGAGGGGAGGAGAGCTCCGAGTGGGAAGTGGAGCCAGGGGCCCGAGACCCGTCGCGTCAGAGCCAGGTAAAGGCTCCTTCCCTCTCCTCTTCCTTCCCTACTTCCAGGCTTGATCACTGACCGAACAAACCCGGGCTGGGGCGGGAAGGAGAGGGCGCGGATGCTGATCGCGGCATCGCCTTGGCTGTGCGGCGCGCCTGGAATCCCTCAGCCCGCCCCCCCCTCGCCCCCGACCCTCTCCAAATCTCCCAGTACAGCCCATAATACTTCTCAGGACTGCATGTCTCTCCGCCCATCACCGCACTGCCTGAAATTCTGTCCTGGCTTACTTATCGGAGCGCAGTCTGCATCCAGCCCCCTCCCCTTTTCTTCATCACACCGGCAGCCTGGGTCCACGTTGGGGCAGCCGTCATTGGCGTAGCCGGTGACCATCGGCTGGCCTCTTCCCCTGTCTCCTAGCTCTGGCAGAAAGCCCAGGTCACGGACCAGGACTCAGAAGGATGGGTGTTCCACACAGCTTCCGGGGCTCTTTCCTTGTCCTACCCTCCTAGCCCACTCCGAAGGGCTCCTCTTCACCCACTCCGGTTCCCAGGCCCGCTTCTCGGTACCAGAGTTGCTAACATCCTTGTACTTCACGTAACATCCCAGCCCACCAAAGTCTCCCAACTGACCCTCACCCCCAAGACCATCCTCTCCTAGCCCTCTCCCGGCTTTCCAAACGTATGCAGCTCTAGTTGTCTCCGGGCTCCTGTCCAGCCTCAGGACCCCACCTCACAACTGCTTCCTCGCTTCCTGCCAGCCTGAACCACGCCGCCTCTACTCCTTCTCTGCCTCTCTCAGTGCGGCTCTTCCTCCGGCCCCGGGAAGTGGAAGATACTCGCGGAACCTCCTCCCGGCGCCCAGAGGGAGGAAAGGGGCGGCCTAGGAGGGAGGGTCCCCGCTGCGGCGAGACAGGGAACCACACGCCGGCCTCCGCGCTCCCGCCTGTTTCCCTCCAGCCTCCCGGGCCTTGGCTAGGGAGGTATCTCCTCCAGCACCTCCTCGCAAAGATCTCTCCCCACCCCCAGACTGGGATTGGGTGCGGTATTTGGGATTCCTGGGCTTGGATGACAAAAAATGTTGGGGATGGCATTAAAGTCACTCTCGTCCCTGGTTTTGGGGGAGGCAACAGCTGCCTTCCGTCCCCCATCCCCCGGTTTTCCCGGTTCCGACCCTCGCCTCTAACCGGTTTCCTGCTTCTGCCGACCACATTGTTTTCCTGGATATGTCCCGTGCGGAGCAGGCTTTTTCCTGCAGATCCCCCCACCCCCCCAACATTTTGCTGCCAAGAGAAGCTAGTAACCAAAAACAAAACAACTGGGAGGAGGGGCGGGAAGGGAAGAAAAGTTGTGCCCGGGTGGCTTGTCCCTCTCCGGCTTTGATCCCTTTTGATGTCCAGGGAGGTGCTCCAGCCAGGGGTCAGGGGCCGAGTCGCGGGTAGGGCCAGAGGCCCCCCTTGGGTTGGCGGCTGCCCAGTGCTGGCGGAGCTCGGGAAACCGCCGAGGTGCCGCAGTCCCCGCCCGGGGCTCCACGTTCCCGCCGCAGTCCCCGCCCGGAGCCCGCGCCGGCGGCTGCTCCAAAGTGTTTTCTTTCAGCCTTAAAACAAAATCCGGAGGGAGCTTCCTTCCTCCCCACCTCTCTGGGCCGGGCTCTGCTGGCCAGGCAGCGTTTGGCCGAGATGAATGGGCCAAGGCCAGGCTCTGAGCTACATCCCCAACCCCACCCCCGCTGCGATTAGGATCTGCTCTTGGGTTGATCGCCCCCTCCCCCTTTTCCTGCATTTACAGGCAAGTGAACCGGAGCAAACGACTTCCGATCCAGTCCGTGCTGCTGCGGCTCCCGTTTGGGATTTGATTTGCAGCATCTTTGAGCCTGTACGACAAAAAACCGCGAAGCACGCCCAGCCCTCCCCCGGCACCCCGATACAAACCCACTCCCTCCCAGGGACATAGCTGGGCGCGTCCACACCCCCGCACCCCCACACCATGTTGTGCGGAAGGACTTCCACTCCCCGCCTGTGTCGTTGATGTCAGACCCCAGGCCAGGCTGCGGGCGCTGCCGTTCTCCAGGCTAATGCTGAAGCTGCGGCTCGGGTTTTAGCACAGGAACCAGTCGCCACTGTACTCGGCCCCAGCACCCACCGTCTGCATGTGCCCGCCGTAGCCGCCTGCTCAGCCCGCGCTCCCCGGAGCGCTGGAGACCACCGCGGGGGGCCCCTTCTGCCCTTGGGAGAATCGGTCTTGGAGGTATTGATTTTTTGGTTGGATTTTTCTCCTGGATCTATCAATTCACAATTCGAATTTGGAAGAAAGAAGGAAAACATGACGTCTCCAGCCAAATTCAAAAAGGATAAGGAGATCATAGCAGAGTACGATACTCAGGTCAAAGGTAAGGGCTTTGAAAAATGGCATAATGCATGTGCTCTATGGACTGGTGAGGCATGCATTTCCACCCTGATTTGCAGGCTGTTCATTTCTTTGGGTGGAGCAGGTGGGGGCAGGCTGACCCCAGAGGTGGTTTCATAGATGGGTCCAAGCCTCCTGAGGATGGGTAGTGCCAGGGGCCACAGGCACTGGTAAGGAACTGGAGTGGGCTTTAGAGTGCCTTTGTGGGTCTGGCCATTATTTTGGCAGCCCTTTCCCCCAAGCTTGGACAGGGTGGGGGGAGGGGCAGGAGGGTCTTGGAGAGAAAAAGGTGGCAATTCGGCACTCACCTCCCCCTGTCTGGGTCGGGTTTCCTTGAAGGACAAGTGAAATCTGACAGGTGTTTGGACATTTAATTCAGAGGTTGAAGGGGAGTCCTGACAGAAATGCAACCTTGGGAGGGTGTACCATTTGGAGAGCCCTGGGAGAGGCGGGGTTTTTTCTAATGCCCTATATTAAAGCCTGAGATTTGTAATGGTACCCTGTACAAAAGTGCCTAATGTAGTGGGTGCACCTTGTACCTGCTCCATCCCTGGTCACCCTGCATACAGTTAGAGATCAGAGGACAAAAAGAATAAGGCCATCCACACCCGGTCTCCACCCTTACCTAAACCTGAATAGAGTTGAAGTGTTAGGGTTTCAGGGTGGTGCTGATTCTGGAAAATGGGGAGACATAATTTTTAAGCCCTTCTGTGTAGTTGACCTGTGCTCCAGAATATATGCTTTCGAAGCCCCATTTCCCTCTCTGCAAAAATGTGAAGGGTAAAGCAAAATGTGGACCTGGAGAAACCAAGTGACCTGTCTCTTCATCTAGTGGACCACTGCCTTACTTGGCTGGTCCATCAGAGCCCCTACCCAAATAGCCTTTTCTTAACCAGCTCATTTCCCTTAGGAGGGGTTCTTGCCTGTGTAAGATATCTAGCATGTGTTTGTGCAAGGCACTGGCTCTTCCTGACCAGTCACTAGAAGAGCCATGCCACTTCAGCCCATTGAGACCCTAGCTGGGGAGTGGGAGAGGTGGGTGGCCTTGAATGTTACACCACATGGTTGGAGCTCTGGGTTTTCCTTTGTTTCAGAGTACAGAGGGAGGGGCCCCTCCTTCTTTCCCTGCACTAATGCAAGGAGACCTTTCCTATCACAGAGGACTTGGGAAGGGCCATGTCTCCCCTCTAATGATTGCCTGGGGTGGGGGTAGAGGTAGAGTGTGTAATGGGCAGCTGCCTTATCTCTTGGAAGGTTGGAAGGTAGTTTGAAGTCCCCATTGTGTCTGCAGGATCTTTTGTATGTCATCAGTTTGGTCAATGCTGAAGTGCCCTAAGGGACCTTCTATCCACTTGGCTGCAAATATTGGTAGGTTTATTACAGAGATGGGGGAGTTGACTGATTGATAGCTTCAGTTGGGCTGGGATTGAGAGAGGTGTGGTTGTGAGTTATAATTGAGGTCTTGGCCTCTTGTCACTGTTCATAATCTGGGTCTGTTTTTGTAAACAATAGGCCACTGGCCTCTGTCCTGTTCAGATGCACTTCATTCTGCTCTTGGAATCCCCCCTGCAGTTTTAGTCACATATGTCATTTTTTTTTCTCTTTTTTCTTTTAATACATCCTATTCTTAACTGTTGCCATAGGGAGTGTTAATAACTTTGACTTTCCCAGATTTCTCTCCAGAAGCACACCATTTGACTAAGGTGCAAAGTGATTTTACATGCTTATTTTTTGGAAGGTTCAAGGAGATAGGTGTTAATAGAACATGCCAATTTCTTATTGGTAAAGGATTTCTCACGAGTGTCTCAAAATTAAGCACTTGGTATATTTACAAACATTGCTCATTGAGATGATGTAATGCAGTCAGCTATTTGGGGTTTCTCTTCAACCTTGCCACAAGCAGGAGACTGTTTTGCTTTGCTCTAATATTTTTCTATTGACACTATTCAGGGTCAT